GCTCTGGGTGAAAAGCAGTGCCAAATTTCTAACTAAGTTTTCAAATGCATTACTGCATTTGGAGCATCTTTTATTTTCACATACATGGTCATGCACAATCATCTATACATGGGATTTTACCTATTGGTATACTGTCCTTTTTGATAGCACTCTATTAGCAGTAGTAAATTCATGTTATTATGAAAATAATTTGTATTGTGGAAATATGGTCCCTTCCTGGCTGTCAGGGACCTGTAGCAAAATACTTTTTAAATTTCTGTGACCATTTGCATGAAGCCAGACATGTCATTTCACAGCATCTGATGAAATGAGCTTGGGCTCACAAAAGCCTATGCTATACATCTCTGATGTCATTACTCTGTAAGGTACAAATCTATTCTGCCACTTGCATAAGGGACATTGTAACTACGGTTTGGACTGACATGGGCACAGGATCATTTATTTTGCCATCTTATCTATTGAGGAATGTGTGATAAATGTGTGGGTTGCAGGTAGTAATTAGGACATGAATCACATTGAATAGACTGCTATTTAACTGCTACTTTGCTTTGTTTTTTCATTTCAGGTGAAATTGATTGGATATAAGGAACCACTGAAGTGGATTTCACTAGGAGAAAAGGGAATGATAGTTGCTGTACCTCAGTTAACCCTTAGTCAATTACCATGCCAGTGGGGGTGGACTCTGCAACTAACTAGTGTTAACTGAACAAGATATACAGAGATTGAAAGTTGTAGGCCCCCCCCCCCCCAAAAAAAAATCCTTAAGTCAAGCATAGTTAGAAGTACTTCATATTTTTAGTTGAGTCTAGGTATTGAATTTTGTAAACAGAGCTGAAATCGGGATTGATGGGTGCAAATTTAATGCAGAGTTGTGGTTTCAAGTTAGTAGGATGAGAACTTGGCCCTTTTATTCTATCTTCTCTGGTGTTAAAAGATGGGGTGATTTTACATTGGGGCTTATTTGAAACCTGATATTGGATTTCTGACTTATAGTGGGCTTCAGTTCAACACTTCGAGGGTGAAAAAAACGTGCACTAATCACAGCATCTACCTCAATCTCTCCACACTGGCCAGTAAAACTATTTTTTTGCAGTTCTTGCAAAATCCTATGTGAACAAATGGAATACTACCCCTTCTCATGACTTAGAGCTCATTTTTTAAACAAGTGAATGATGAAGTATGAATGCAAAATTTAGCTCAGCCATTGATCAGAAATGGTGTGTTCGTGAGAACTCAGCTCTACCAATCTCTCTCTCTTGCTTTTAATTTTGTGCACTTTTGGTTCTACAAAGATCATTTAAGATTTTTTTTAAAGCAGGAAAATAAATGATTTAAGGAATATGTCAGGAATAAGAGAAAACTGAATGACTGGCAGGTTTTGAAGCTTTGATTCTAGACTACTGAATAAACGGGTATACTTGGTCAGCCATCTAGAGCAGGGGTGGCCACCCTGCAGCTCTTCAAAAGTTAATATGTATCTCCTTGAATCTTTATACAAGCACATGGTGACCAGTAACCATTTGGAAGCTGGTGACCAGTAACTATTTGGAAGTTTTGTGCAAAGATTCAAAGAGATGTAGATTAACTTCAGAAGAGCTGCATGTAGCTCTGGAACTGCAGGTTGGCCACCCCTGTTGTAGAGGGTTCTATCAGGTTGCTATAGGTCACGTGAACTTGCAGTTTTGATCTGGGGAAGTACAGTGGGAAATGTATCTTAGATTCATCTCCACCTCAGTTATTTTGCTAAGGATTTCTGTGGGTGATATCTTTTATTTGGGTCAACTGTATAACTGGGATAGACTTATAGGCAAGCTTCTATATGCTGGGCTTTCTTCTTCGGGTTTCAATAAGAAACCTTTTTTCTACCTTTTCCAATTCAATCCCTGCTCTTCAGGCACTCATGACAGTAGATTATTACTACCTTAGTGTAATTCTAAATACTTTCACTAATAGCATTCTCTACAGTTTGGTAACCATAAGGTTGGATATTTAAGCAGCAAGGGGAAAAAAAAAAAAAAGAGGGCTGTGTAAAAAAAACAGCATTAAAAAAAAAATCAAGTTGTCTTAACTTGTGTATCAAGGAATTATTTTTCTGGTCTTTACTTTCCTACAGAAATATACAGTGTAAATAAAAGCAAGACTCTTGTACTGAAGATTCAATTTATTTTTCTTTCAGGTATGTAAAGTTTGAACGTGGTATAGACATTCTTTTGTTGGTAAAATTACTGCACACACAAGCTTTACATTAAAATATTTTATTACAATACAGACAGTTGGGCTCAAAATTAATACAAATTAAAATAAAATATTTACAAACAAATGTGTACAGTAGTGGCCATTAGTGAACAGCATAAACGATAACCTCTACAATCAATGTACTTTTAAGCCTTAAGGAAGACAGCAACTATCCAGAACTTTGGTCAGATATAAATACTATTTGGCAAAAACTTAACGGCATCTGTAGCATTGAAATTAAAATCCCTCTTTCCTCAAGGGAAGGAGAAGAGCCCAATTTCACCCAGTTTACTGCCTGTTGTTCTAGAGCTTTATGCCTAGAATGCTTTTCTTTCTAAATTTACCACAGTCCAAGCAGGTCTGTCTCACCAATTGTCAGTATCCTGGTATAAACATGAACTGCCTTTCACATATAGTAAAATTAACTGTAAATAAGTTATTCCATAGATTTAAAGTCTTCTTACAACAGTCTTCATATTCAGTGAGTCTTTCGATGAAAATGCTTTCTAGATCAGGTGTTGTAAGCAGGTTTCTATTATATAAACAAAAGCAAGTGCATTCCTGATTATTTAAAAAAAAAAATTTCTGTAGGCCTAGCATTCTTACACCATTATGAAATTAACCCAAATCCTTATAAGTTCTCACCAATAGCCACAAGGGATGTACTATAAATATATGATCTGTCCCAATGATGCACAGGTCATTTCTCTAGTTGCTGAGGGGTACTGAAAGCTTCATAAACATTGGCAGCAAAGTCTTTCACTTGTTCCATCATCAGCAGGTCCTGGAAGAAGTAAAAATAAACTTTAAGTACCAGCCTCCCTTACCACTGAAATACCCAATTTTGTTAAGTGTGAAAGACTTGAATAAAGAACTCATTCATTGTCAGCGGTCAGTATAAAAATCTTATAGTTGAAAGTTAATTAGAATCACATCTACAGATACAACTGGATTAAGAAACTCACTGTGTTCCCACAAAGTGATCACAGCTGTTTAGAAGGGAATTTTAGGAAAAAGGAGTTCTCTCTTAGAAAGGAATTTGCTTTAAGTTGATTTGTTTTTAATGCTGTTGGTTCTTGCCCTTTTAAAAAATTATTGAAGTTAATGCATGAAAGAGAGGACAATATAATGTAAAAACAAAGACTACTTCAACAGACATCAGCTGTTTAAGACATTAAGCAGCTCTTACCTGAACAAAGTGACTAGGAGTTTCACTGCAAACTGAGTGGATCTGTCCATTTATTATTGGAATTATCTTGGCTAACGGCAAACTGACACTCGAAAGGCTATAGAAAACAAAGAGCTAATGAGAAGTAGGCCTAGCTATTAGGGCTGTGCGAAGCTTCAGTAGTTGATTCGATTCAGAGGAGATTTGGCCCAATTCGGGAACTGAATCTCCAAATCCGGAGACCAATTAAAAAGCTCCGAATTTATTCGAAGCATCTGAATAGATTCAGAAAAGCTTCGGCAACACTGGAGATGCGGCCATAGACTAAACAGGCAGCTGACACAGCTGCCTCCATTGGGCAAGTCTGTTGGGGTGGGGGAAGGGGAGGGACTGGGGCTGGGAAAAGCTGCCCAGCTGGGGTGGGGGGCACATTACTTGCGGAGTGGGGCAGGTGACACAGCATGTGGGCACGGCAGCACTGGGAGCAGGGGCTCTGTCTTGCTGCTCCTTGCTCAGCTGGGGCAGAGGGAGTGGGGTGGGATGTAGGCGCGGCTTGCTCCAAGCACAAGGGGGCAAGCGGCAGCAGGACATGGTCCCCACTCCCATCACTGCCGCACCTGCATCCCATGCCCCCTGTGCTGGCTGGCAAGCAGCAGCAGGTTAGAGCCCCTGCTCCCAGCACTGATGTGGGTACAGAATTGCTGGGTGTGGGGGCTCTGCCACGCTGCCACCTAGAGCGAGCCGTACCTGCATCACGCACCCCCACCTGCGCCGGCTGGGCAAGTAGCAGCAGGGCAGAGCCCCCGCAGCTCCCTCTGCCAGGGCAGAGGCAGGCACAACTGGAGGAGACATGGGAGAAGCCCCCATGGCTGCCCTGCCCAGCCTCTTGGCATTTATTTATTTATTTATTTTAAAGCCCTGTACTCACTGGCTCTGGCAGCAGCAATCGGGGCCTCTGAGGGCTTGTGGCAGAGCTCCCCTGTGCAGCACGGGGCAGCGAGGATCTCCCCCCTACTTGACACCTGTGCGGCAGCTGCCCCATGGCGTGGGTGTAGCACAGCTCTGCAGGGCATTGCGTGCTGTCTGGGAACTGGGGTGGCTCCACCTGTCAGCTGCAGCCCAGTACTTCTCAGCCCCAACTGCACTTATTTGGCAATATTGTGAAGGATCCCACCTATGTCTCCTGCAGTAGAGCTACAATTCAATCAAACATTTTAACTGATGTAAAGTGCTAAATATTCCAGTTGGCAGCCCCAGTGCTATTGAATTTGCAGGGCAGAGCCAAACCAAGACACAAGAGAAATCAAAACTTACCAGAAAATGTTGTGTTTAATGCATATGTTTAAATAAAATGGTATTTTTAGGAGCACAGCAAGGATTTTTTTAAAAATAAAAACATGTTCAATATCTCAAAACAACATTTTTTAGACATTACTAGTAACAAAAGATTTTAAAGACATTTTTTCTTAGGAGACTGACGAAAACAATTAAGCGTGCAAAGGAAGAAATTTAAAAATTACAGGTGTCTGCACTTTGTGCATTATGGAGCCTAAGACCATCCTTGATTTTCTTTTTATGCCAATTTTTTAAAACTTTTAACAACAGATTTGACAGGGAGGAAAAACAAAAAATGAAAGAACTTGTATCTTAACACTACCAGAGAGGATGGGTGAAAAAGAACATTACTTCCTCCAATGTGCCGCATTCCATTTTTCAATAATTAACAGCAATGGAGTAAATTCAGACAAAATATAATCCATAGGAGCATGCTGACTTGCAAAGTGAAAGATGGGGAGGGCAGTTTCCATTCTTAACTTTGCTACTGACCATCTGGGACACTGGGCAAACATCAGAGCTTCCATCTCAATTTTATTCAATATAAAAATAGCACTAATAGTTTTCCATCACATAAAAGTGAGCAAGAATGGTATCTGCTTTTGAAGTGCTAAAAATATAGCTATTCTCATCACCTTCCATGACTTTCTTCCATTATTCAAGATAAATGGATTCAGATGCCAGCGTACTATGAAGCCAAAAGCATTAATCACATGACCATGCATAACTACTATGAAGACAATAATTACCTGTTTACGGAGCTGTTCTGACATAGGTCCTGTTCAGTGGGTCGAAAGAATTCTGCCATATTATCCAACAGTCGACTGAAGCCTCTGTTTAAACATGTTCTCAAAACTGTACCAAAATCTGGGCTGTGGGAAAACAAATGCTATTTTTACTCCTATTATTTGTTTCTCCAAATTGGTAATATCTGTTTTGAAGTGCACAGTGTTAACTGTTCTCTGTGGCTGAAGGTGATAGAGCAAGAAATAATGATCTTCTATTGCAACCAGGGACATTTAGGTTGTATATCAGGAAGAATATTTTAATTATAAGGGTGGGTAAGCACTGGAGTAGATTGCCCAGACAGGGTGAATATATATCCCTTCTTGGAAGTTTTAAGAGCAGGTTAGACACTTCTCTCAAATGATTCAGATAGGGATGATTCTGCCTTAAGCAGGTGTTGGATTGGATGACCTCCTGAGATCTCTTTCAGCCCTATTCTATGATTGTAGAATCACCCAACCCAGTGCCTATGCCATACATTCAAATTGACAACAGTGACAAAAGATTGCTAATAACATGCCAACCTCAATTCTATCAAAACCAACCAAGAGGATAAAATGGATTTTTTATCAACCTCAAAAAGTTTAACAAACTGATGTTCTGGCAGCTCTAGAGTGGGAAGAGCAAGTTTCAGCAATTACAGACTTTTGCAGAGAATGTCCTGCTAATAGCTCAGATGACTGCACCTTGAGCACGTGCACTAATTTCAACTGTGGCATCATACTGCAGAAAGCACATGATTTCTCAGGTGAACTATCCCAACCCATTTAGGGCTGTAAAGATTATAATCGGCACCCCAAATTCCACCTAGAAGCTTAATGAAAACCAGAGCCAATCTAAAACATTCATTGCGAGTGCATCAGCACTGGAATCCTCCTTACAAGTGCTACACGCGGTGTGGTATTGACCCAATAAAAAAAAAACAACTCTCTCGAATTCTAGGAGACAGATAAAAAGGATTGCACGCCATTAGCTCAATGCATTCACTTTCAATATTATCTACATCATCGTTATAAAAGTGAGGTTACAGAACTCCTTTGTAAAACTCTCCACAATTTTCTTTGAAAAGTAATTTCAAAAACCTTACCAACTGTGATCTATTTCAAAATGGTATCTAAAAGTGAATCCAAAATGTATGCTCTATTTACTTCAGTATGTGAGCAATTACTCTGGATTTACACTTGTGTGATGCAGAAGAAAAATTATCTCAAGCTATTGTAGAACTGCAGAAAATTGTTTACATCTTTTTTGTCCGTATGATTATTTCTTACAAGTGTATTTTCTAAAACGTTATTCAGCCACTACTAAATGCCTGTGATTAATCAGATTATTTTTTATTTTAAAAGCTAATCACCTAATTAGCAAAAGGCTAAATTAGGCACTCAAATTCCACTGATTCCGAGATCCCAGATGGTCTTCTGAAAACCCAAGCCTAAAACCACAAATTCACTGATGCTCCCACATCATGATAGTTAAAGGTCATATTTTGAGAGAGGAAAACCAACCACCAGTGCAAATTGCACTTCTGATGCTTTCAATGCAATGCAGATTATTGGCATGTTTCTCTATACCTTTCCAACATATCTCTCGTTTCATTAAGTAGTTTAATAGTAGCGACATCTTTTTCTGTGAGTCCACAGGCCTAGAAAAGCAAACAAAATACCCAGTTTAATAGGAATTCCATTATCTCTTTTTATTTTGACTAAAATGGTCAGGTCCAGCAACATTGATCTCAGAATATCCCTCCAGAACAAGCTCTAATAAAGCGGATAATGTACATGAGCTCACTTCAGACATTTATGAAATTAAGAGTAAAATCATAAGGAATAAAATGTATGGACAGCAAGGAAAAGTAAGAGAAGTCAGGAAACAAACATGATAAACTAAATCAATTAAAATAAATATTCAGCTATAAACCAAGTTTTAAATTACAATAACCTGGGGTGAGATTACACATTACAAATAGATCATGTTAAGAGCACTTAAAACTGAATTATTATACCTTAAAGCTCATTAACTAGTGCTAAGTGTCCTTTAGCTGTTTTAAAATTATGCCATTTGAGGCCAGGATTATCTTTGAGCTGGGGTACCTTGCTTGAGTTAACTTCTTGGTGTTCAGCTGAAATAAAACTACCAATTTGCAGTGCCTCCAGCATCCAAGGAGGCACTGCTCCCAGGTGGACTATCATCCCAGACTCTACGCCCTGGGCTGACAGCTGGAAACCACTGGGCAACAGGTAGGTGGGGACAGGAGAACCAGTGGATGGGGAAGGAGGAAAGGGCAGAGCAGGGAGCTGTTAGGCTGCTGCTTCTGCTACTCCCTAGACTGCCCCCAACTTCTGAGTAGCCCCGTCCACCCTCAAATCACTGCCCTGCCATCCCAATTGCTCCCTCTGCCCTAAGATCACTGCCCTGCCACTCCAATCAACCTAATGGCAGCAGGGTGATTTGAGGGAAACAGGGAGTGATCCAAGCAGCATGGAGGGGCCCTTCCCTTCACTCCTCCCAGCCTATACTGTGGCAAGAGAGCAGCAAGTAGGGCAGGCATAGAACAGACTGGCAGCCCCTAGGTTGCCTCTGCTCATCAGGCCTCTAGTGGCAGGTTTGAGCAGTGCACATTAGAATATTAGGAAATTAACCTGGCTCCGTGGCTTAGGGGTTTCTTCCTGCTGGCTACTTAGACAAAAGTTTGTAAGTTCAAGACTGGGTGAGGTCCCTACACCTCACCTGCACAGGGGTGTGCAAGAAATTATTTTTGGGAGGTGATCCTTCCCCTCTATGCAGTGTGGGTCAGGCTGCAGTTGGGAGTACTGCATCCAGTTTTGAGCACCGTACTTCAAGAGGGATGTGGCTAGCATTGAGAGGGTGCAGAGGAGGGCCACTCACATGGTCAAGGGGCAGCGGGGCAGACCCTACGAAGAGAGGCTAAAGAGCCTGAACCTATTCAGCCTCCACAAGAGAAGGCTGAGAGGAGATCTGGTGGCCGTTACAAACTCATCAGGGGGGCCC